AAAAGGCCTAATAGTCATGTCACTCCTTACCACCCATTACTAAGCTGAACATGGCTTAAAATAATGGGGCTGGAAAGTTTTGTTCACAAATTTGAGAGGATTAAGTAGTTCTTGCATAGAAAAGTTCTTGCATAGGTTTGAAATTAAGTTAAAAAGAGGTTAAGGACAATGTCAAATATCAAAATAAGCAACAGTTTATAATTAATCAAAATATTCAGTCATTTTGTAAGCCCAAGATTTAAAACAAAATTATACTAAAAAAATTGTGATATAGGCAGAATGTGTAGGCATGGGGATCCTAATCTTCATCTATATGCTTCTCTCACTAACTTCAGGTTTCCTTGGCCCCAGGATGTTTTTATGCTGTCTTGAGACTGTGGAAAAACAGTTATTGTCCCCAATCCATGTTATTCAACCATACCTTTAACTCAGGTAGCTAAACTCAATTATTTTCCTTCCACTCTACATGTCAGAATTTGCATTTCCCTTTCCTATTGACTTTCTTATTGATCAAAATAATAAAATAAATTCATAGTAAAGTGTGGTTATAGCCACTTGTAACCTTTCCTTCTCTTCAAGAAAATTTGCATTGAAAAGATCATTAAACCCAATGGAACGCTGAATTACTTTAATTTCTGGAAATTGAACAAAGGGCAGAATGTTCTGCTACAATGCATGTTCCTGTAAAATCAATTAACTCAATTGGTAAGTGTAAGAATGATGTCAGTACATAATTTGGAAGTTGGTTGATTCATACATGATAATTCCCAGTAATATTTAGCACCAGCAGGTAACAGCCACTGAACAGGAAGTACATTGATACAGCTGCATACAGCAAGCCAAAGAGGAATGAATGTACTACACTCTACATTCCTCTTATTGGCTCTGTTTGGCTACATTCTGCATTAGAAATATTTATTAAGCCTTCTTCCCATCTTTGTGAATTTTACTTTGTTTGTATAAGTAATCCTTATTTCCTTCCATCAAGCTATCTATACTTTATTTACTGTAATGCTTATTTATTAGGAATTTAACTTTTTTAACCATTACTACTTTGATTAGAATTAGTAGCATTTTGTTAATACTCTTGGTTACCAAGTTACATAAGTTCACTCAACCTATTTTTCTTTTAAGCTGTTATTTTTATTGAATAATTTTGTAGAATGTGAGGGTTTTACACAAACATGTATCACATGATTGCAGGAATACCTATAAAGCATTTTAAAAAGTGTGGGGAGAATTTTTTCTTCTATCTCGCCTTCTTTCTTTTTGTACTTCCTTTTCTTGTAGGGAGCAACCTGGAGAGAGAAAAGGAGGAATTTTTTTTTCTCTCAGCTACCTATATTCCAAATGTCTGCTATAAGTGTTTAAAGCTACTCAATCAACTGGAATTTTCACCTGTCTTCCCCCACCGTTATTATCAATAATGATGCATTTAATTATCAAAGGTTCCAAAGGAGCACAATTCCATTGTTATTGGTCATGTGTTAATTTTTATTAAATTCTTAGTGTTTAACCAGGCCCTAGAGTCTTTGTTCCAAATGTCTTTTCCTATAAGCAGGTATGGTATTTTGAGAAACAGTCTCATTATATCATTTTCCTCCTTATCATCACTTAAACTGTTCTGACACATTTTTGGAAAAGGTTTAGAAGTCTACAACTCTCCTTTACTTTTGTGTTTAAGATTCAATGAGGGCCTGTTCTAGGCTTAGAAAAAGCTACAGAACATTCAAGCTTTCCTTAAATTGTCTACATGTCTCAGTTTCCACATAATCAGAAATCCTGATTCTATAAAATGTAAAATGCTATAATGTTGGCTAAAAGGATGGGATCAAATCAACTGTCCATCCATATGAATGATTTGGGACACCAATAAAGGGGATATATTTCAGAGCCCTCTGGCCCTTTCTCTAACCTCCTTATCCTCAGAGCTTCTGCAGGTTTTTCAGAAGTAGGAAAATATTTTCATGCCAAAAAAAAGAGAACAAGGTTACATAAATTCCAACAAAAATGTAATACTTATTATAAATGAGAGAAATATAAATCAAGAAAAAATTGGAAGATGGAAGTAGAGCCAGATGTAAAGCTAAAAATAGCACAAGTACAGCATAAATTTGGCTCAGTTCTCTAGTAGCCAATGTGAGAAGGGTCATCTATCCAATATATTATGTCTATTAGCTGAAACAAACCAGTGATATAGACATGGATTTATTTTTGGAACTAATATCAGATAATTTTTTCCTGAGGATTTCATAATCCATATGGTAAGTTATATTTTTGCACTTGGAAGAAGTTTTAAGGATTAAGAGGGCTGGCTTTTCAACTCTGCTTCAGTAGAGGTAAGATTTAGTTGGAATGAAGTCTTTCCGGGCTAAAGAATGTGTGAAAATTATTGATATAGGTAATTTTACTTTCCCTACTGCATAGTTCTTTGAGGGTAGAATATGCTTATCATAAAACTTAAACGTTTTATGGTTGGTATTTATGAAATGGTTAAATAAATGAATAAATGCATAAAAAGATGCACATGCGGGAGGAGAGGGGCCTCATTGTCCTTAAATGCTTCCTAAGATTCATCTCTCCTGAGCACTGGGTAATATGAAGTGTGAGGATACTATTAAATAATAGGGATGGCCATAAGCAAAACATGAGGCAGCTTTGTTTGCTGGAAGTGTCTTTCACGTTCACCTTTTTTGTTTAACTTTTTGCCCACTTTTAGACTCATCAGATGCCTCTCTGCTCTCTAGCACTAAGTATCTATGGCCAGAATGGCATAGTATTTATCTATCTTTACTAATGTGTTGAGGATTCAGTTTTCTGGGGGCCTCAGAAAGAGTGCTATGTTTATTTTTCTCTGTTAGGAAAATGGTTATAGGGCATATTTCAATGAGTGCCTAGTATTTGTCAACCTTGAGATTCTATATACTTGAAGTGGTTCTTTGAGGCCTATGAGATACGTCTCCAGTGAGACTTCCTTAGGCTGGGGACTTTTCCTTTCCTGCATTTGTCAAATGATAAAAACTGTTGTTGTCCATCCAGGAGGTACGTACTTTTCTGTTTTTAATTAAAACATGTAGGATTAGGCTGTCCTGGTATTGGCTCATGCCTGTAATCCTAGCACTTTGGGAGGCTGAGGCTGGAGGATTGCTTGAGGCCAGGAGTTCAAGACCAGCCTGAGCCAAGAGTGATACTCCGACCACCCCCCCCTCCCAACCATCTATACAAAAAAGAGAAAAATTAGCCAGGTGTGGTGGCACATGCCTGTAGTCCCAGGTACTTAGGAAGTTGAGTCAGGAGGGTTGCTTGAGCCCAGCAGTTTGAGGTTGCAGTGACCTATGATGACACCACTGCATTCTAGCCCAGGAGAGAGAGACCCTGTCTCAAAAAATCAAACAAAAAAGAAAAAACCTATGCAGGGTTAATATGATAAAAAAAAAGTGATTTTTTTTTGGGGGGGAGGGGTAAAAAATAAAAGACTTGTATTCAAGATTCAACTGCCAAGAATTAGCTATGTAACCTTTGGCAAGTCCTTCAATATGTGTATAACTCTTGTTCCTAGAATGTAAAATGAAGATAATTATAGGCTCTTTCTAACACCAAGATTATTCCAATCTTTAGCCCATTATTGTTTATTCTATTTACTAGTTTATCTTATGAATATATCTATTTGAAAACAGAAAATGTGTTTCATTGGTTGTATCCTAAATGCTTATCACAATGACTTTTTACATTGTATACTCAATAAAATGTCCATTGGTCCAGTGAATTAATGAAAATTTCACAGTGCTAAATAAATTTAAGCTGTTTGAGGGAAGCAGGCAGAACTTTACCATGTTTCCCTCTTCTTTTGGCCTAGTAGTTCCTGTCTGTGTCCCTAAAGGCCCCAAGCAATCAATCAGTTATCAGTCCACAGAGACAGACGGGACAGTGCTGGGATGTTGATACATCTTACACTTTCATCCTTCTGGAAGTGTCTTCACTCTGAAGATCTTGGGTTTCCTTTAGATCATCTGTGTCCAGTGTCATACATTGCTCCTCACGTACAGCCATGCTGATATTGTTGAATCATACCTGCAAAAATATTAAAATGCTGAATATTTTATTCTGTAGCATATTTTATATGCATCCAAATGCTCCAGGTTTGCATAACTCTTCCATAATTACAACACTGAGGAGTTATTGAGATATTATGTATCAGACTCTACACAGTCACATGTATTAACTTATTGTATTTTCACATTTCTATGAAGTAGATACTATTGTTATCTCCATTTTGCATATGAGAGCTTTGGGAAAAAAAGGTTAAGTATTTTGCTTAAGGTCACACTTGAAAGAGTGGTAAAGTCTAGATTCCTGTATGAGCTGTTTGGCTCCAAAGTCCACGCTCTTAACCATTATGCTAGGCTAGCTCTTGACTATTTGGTTAAGTAGCTACATTTTTTTTTTTTTTGACAATTCATTTTTCTTTTGGGAAACAGTAACGAAAATTTTGAAGCTTAGTTTGCTTAATTACAAAATATCTACCTTTTACTTCTATGGTTTCCCAAGTTTTAACTGAGGTTCTTTTGTATGCTTACATTGGCAATGAGAACTCTATAGTACTCATATTTACAAAATATATTAAAAAATAGAATTTGGAAGAATGTTTTCATTTGCCCATACAGTAAAGGGATTGTTATAGAATTGTTATAGGATTGTTTGTTAAAAAAACAAACAAAACCACCAGAAATCTACTCAAAATCACACACTGAAAACTCTAAATTTTCATTTAACATATAGATGACCCTAAAACAAGGAGCTATTTTTTTTGCCTCTAGCGTAAACCAAGTCTAGCTTGCTATGACTGTAGTATTTATATAACTATCCTGACAGCAAAATGCTAAGATAACTGTACTGCTTGCTGTTCAATTATCTTATAAAGCTGATGATTTTATACATGTATGTCTTCCTTCATAATGAAATATCTCGTGTTAACACCAAATTTTAGCACATTAGTTATAATACTTAAATACTTTAATATACAATGAATAAAAGAACAAAAACACTCAGTTACAATAAATAAAATATTAGAGTACTGCAAAATATGTTTTTCACACTTATTTTCTATTGGCATACAAAAGCTACTAGTATGCAAAAACCATGCATTAAGCATAGTTTGAATTGTACTGAAGTTATATTCTGAAGGGGTTGTAACCTTTTTCTTAAGAACTGATAATATTAAAAAAGCAAAAGCATTATAATTCATAGATAATACACAAGACTTCACCTATAAAAAGTGAGAATGCCAATGTTTTATTTGCTACAGGGATAAGGAGGGGAACATCAGTGAAATAAATTTGATAACATGACTCACACTTCATTACAAGTGACTTTCCTAAATTCACAACTTTCACATTTGGCTGAGCTAAGAAAGAAAGAAAAAAAAAAAAAAACTAAAAAAGGAAATTTCACTACTTGTAAGTAGGCCAAGTCACATGATTCCTATAAATGAGAGTTTAAATGAGAATGAGAGCACTTTTCTAGCTGAGAAAATATTTTCCTTAATTAAGTGAGCTTAAATAATTTACCCATGGTGATGAATAAGCCCTTGGGATAGATTCAGAAACCTCTTCTACCAGCCTGTTTCATAGGAATTACACAAATACTTACTATGGAACATACATGAAACATTTTCTTGGTGGTCTTAATAGTAAAGGTAAGAATTTTAAAGATCATACTACTTTGTTGTCTTTCAGGTCTTTTTCTCCTAAATGTACCATCTGCATTTCTTGGATATGTTGTACAATCATATAAAGTGCATTTTACTTAATGGATTAATGTGTTCAATCAACTTTAACACCCTATGAAAGTACTAAGAGTAATGAGAACAGGGCTATTTAAACTTCTTCCTCATCTCCTCCCCTTGATTATGAGTACAGAAATTTATTTAGAAAACAATGAGGAAGAATTATCATAACCTTGAGGCACCTAGGGACAGAGAGAATTCAGAGACTGAGAAAGCATGGCTCAGGAGAGAGATAAAAGTCATATTGGAAATGTATGGAGTCTAAATGAACTTTTACCCTTTTCCCCAGATTCATATTTAGAAAGGGTGTGAGATGTCAGGAATGTGCATGGACCCTTCATCAAATGACATTTTCATTCGTGTTTATTTTTCCCACAAAACAAAAGAAATGGAAATACAAGTGCTTGGTACTACATGCCTCTGAGGCTTAAAAGCCCATTAATAAGCACGCTGTATCCGTCGTTGAGGGGGATAACTTTTCAAAATAAACATCGCCAGAAGAATCTCCTCAAACAGACACTGAAATCATTCTCCCTCCCCAGCCACGAGGGAAAAGGGAGACAGTGATATCGCCCCCTACTTGCATGTGGGATCTCCCTCTCTCCTCCGACCTCCCTACCCTCTCCCACGCAGGTCAGGCTGCCTTGGGAGGTAGCTGGGAGAAAAGGCAAAAAACTCAGTCTTCCATGGCAAAGTCTTTGGTCTTTTCCTCCTGGTCCCCCACTTTGTAGCGCAGCAGCACGCGCAGGCGACGGGGGTTGTCCCGGGAGGGCAGCAGCGTGATCTCTCCTGAAACGTCCGTGTCTTGCTCCACTTGTACAGGCTCGTTCAGGTAGAGGAGCGCCTGCTTCCAGTGGGTGGCCGGATGAAAAGGTGAGGTGGACAGCACCAGGGGTTTCTCTGAGTCCCCTCCTGGGAAGGTCACCTGGAACCAGATGGCAAAGCCGTGCATGGGCGCCGAGCCATAGCAGCTGCAGCGGAAGCGCCCGCCCACCCCAGCCACCAGCTCCTGCTCCAAGCCGGCGCGGGCCAGCTCGAGCTGAGCGAAGCGCTGCGGCCGAGCCAGCACATCCTCGCCGGACAGGCCCTGCACCACGATCTCCGAGTGGCCCATAAGGCAGCGCGTAGCGAAGCTCTCCAGGCAGCTCATGTCCACACCGTAGTGCTGCTTCACCTGGCTCCAGAAGCCCAGGCGCCACTCCAGCATCTGGTCGCTGATGGGGGCTACGAAGAGCTCGGCGGAAGCTGGCAGGAGCAGACCGCCCTCCTTCAGCCACTTGGTCCGCGCGTGGAGCACGGAGCTCAGCATGGACTCGTGCAGGAGTCCGTAGCCCATCCACTCGCTCACGATGGCATCCACCTGCTCCGGCAACTCCACCGTCTCCACTGGCCCCGGCAGGACGTGCACCCGGTCTTCCAGCCCGTTGAGCCGCACCACCTCCCGGGCCTGTTGCCAGATGGCGCTGGCCTCCACCGCGTACACGCGCCGGGCCCCGGCCTGGGCACAGAAGATGCTTAGAATGCCGGTGCCCGCGCCCACGTCCAGCACCGTCTTGCCCCGCAGTGCTGCCCAGTTGCGCAGGATGCCCAGGCGGTAGGCATCGGTGCGGACCCGGTCCGCAATCATCTCCTCGTGGACCGAAACGTCCGAGTAGCACTCGTAGTACAGCTGGTCCCGCTCCCGCTTAGTCCTCCTGGGTCGCTGCGGGGCCGCCTCCCGCTCCCCGCCATCTTCCTCCTCACTTCCCTCCCCTCCTTCGGCGCCGCCGCCCGGCGACTCAACCTTTCTTTTCTTGGGCTGCGACATCTTGGCCGCTGCGGCCGGTTCCCGGCGGGCTTTGCGCGGCACTGCGCGGGCTCCAGGAAACCGGGGCTTCTGGGACTTGTAGTGCGCGCTCGCGTCCCTCACTTCCCGCGTGGTCGCTTGAAGGTCTCCCAGCCTGACCCAACTTTTATCCTGCTTCTTTGGTGTCCGGTTTCCCTCCGCTCTTCTACCTGAATTTGTAGTGCTTTAGTCCTCCCCACCTTCCTTAATCTCCTCACATCCCTTTTGCTTTCACTCACTCTCTTAAGTAGACAGGCCCACGTAAGGCTAAAACTTCACTTTTGTCTCCTCTGCTGAACTCCTCAGTTTTATGCCACCGAGTTATCATGGCGGCCTCACCTGGATGGTGCAACAGTTCGAGCTCTCCAGACGCGGCGTCTTAGAAATTGCACTACGCATTTCTGTTTTTAGTGGAGGTAGGGTTCAAAGGAGGTGTAAGTAGAACAAAATAATAACAATATGAAACCTTGATTCTGATTGTAATGTGACCGTTATTTCTTTATTTTTTTTGAGACAGAGTCTGGCTTTGTTGCCCACATTGGAGTGTATTGGTGGTCATAGCTCACTGCAGCCTCAAACTCCTGGTCACAAGCGATCTTCCCATCTAGGGTCACAAAGTTCTCGGACTTAAAAGTGTTAGCCATCACGCCTGGCTAATGTGACTATTAATTAATTGAATGATTTAAGGCAGATAATAGAACTTCCCTGGCCTTCAGTTACTAGCAATGAGGAATCTTCATTGCAGTCAGGGAAGAACTATGTTTTTGGTATTTCTCCTTTCTATTTCATGAGAATAGTTACTTGGTTCTAGGTCCCGCTCTGATAATATGTGGCTCTTTAAAAAGTTAAGTCCTAACCGGGCGCGGTTGCTCACGTCTGTAATCCTAGCACTCTGGGAGGTCGAGGCAGGAGGATCGCTCAAGCTCAGGAGTTGGAAACCAGCCTGAGCAAGAGCGCCACCTGTCTCTACTAAAAATAGAAAGAAATTAATTGGCCAAATAAAAATATATAGAAAAAATTAGCCGGGCATGGTGGCGCATGCCTGTAGTCCCAGCTACTCGTGAGGCTGAGGCAAGAGGATTGCTTGAGCCTAGGAGTTTGAGATTGCTGTGAGCTAGGCTGATGCCAGGGCACTCTAGCCTGGGCAACAGAGTGAGACTCTGTCTCAAAATAAATAAATAAATAAATAAAAACAAAAAGTTAAGTCCTGGAAGGGTGTAGAATAAAGAGCCGTTAAAAAGCAACAGTGGTGTAATACAGTCAAACTCATTGCTAGGTGTACTGTAGTAACCAATTATTTTTCTCTGAGAAGTAAAAGAATCCTCCAGCCCTTTTGATCACTCTTCCACTACAACTCATTTTTTCCTGTGTCTCCTTGTCTGGGCAAGATTGATACTCTCTTCTGTCTCTTCTGTTTTTCTTACAGTCAACCATCAGCTGTTAATCTTTTCCATTTTTCTTGTTCATAATGGAAATAAAATGTATTTTTAAAAATATGTGATGTCTATATGAGTGTCTGTATTCTTCACAAGTAAGATGAGAATACCGTTTTCTCCTAGCCTGGAAAAAAGATCACACAGAAGAAAATTGAATTTTATTTTCTTGTGGTCTTGAACTATGTCCATTTAACCAATGGGCCTGCATTCCTTGTCTGGGAGAAAATTTCCTTCACCCCATTCTATTAATCTTTCATTAATGGAATAGTTTTATTGATGTGGCATTCTCAGTTGTACTGTACTTCTAACTCAAGACTCTCCCTCCTGGCTGCTCATTAGAATCCTCGAAGGAGCTTTTAAAATATACCTATGCCTGGGTCTACCTGAGACCAATTAAATCAGAATCACTCTAGTGGAACCTGGGCATCTAGTTTTTAAAAGCTCTCCAGGGAATTCTAATGTGCAGCCAGGGTGAGAACCACTGTTTCTCACTAGAATAATCTTAGTTAAATCTTGCTTCATTGTTTAAATTGTATTTTTTCATTGTCCAAGGCTCAACCACTTACAGCTTTAAGGCCATTCTCTCTTTGTGCCTTGGTTCAATACCTTGTTTTAAGAAAATTGAGGCCCAGAGTAGGGCATGGGATTAGAGTTGTAAATGTGACCACTTTAATACATTACTGTTAGGCTGTCACTTAGTACATTAGTTACACATCTACCATTTTTTCTTTCTTCAAAATATCATCTCTTCATGTTAAATGCATTCACTGCACCCAATTTTCAATTTCCTTCCTTGTGGTCTCTTTTAAGAAAATTCTGAATAGAGGTTTTACTGGTTCTACCTCCAAAATATATCTTGAATTCATCTGCTTTTCTCCATTTTCATTGTCAATACCGTAGTTTAATCTTCTATCTTTACTTGCCTGGAAATTAGTCTCTTAAGGGATCTCCAGCTTCTAATCACACCCTTATGTAATCCCTATTCCACATAGCTGAAAGAATAAGCTTTTAAAGACCCAAATTAGAGCATATAATTCTCTAGTAACTTCCCATTCCAGTATCTGAAACAATCCAGTAACTTCAGTAACTTCCCATCTAATCTCATACCATTTTTCCCAACTCCTCATTGGGGTCAAGACATATAGGCCTTCAGTGGAGCCTAAAGGCTCTTCAGGTATAGGTATAGGACTCATAGGTATAGGACTCATACCTATAATCCCAGTGACTTGGGAGGCTGAGGGGGGAGGATCACTTGAGGCCAGGAGTTTGAGACCAGCCTGGGCAACAGTCTAAAAAAGGATAAGAAAAATAAGCTGGGTGTGGTGGCCCATGCCTGTAGACCCAGATACTCAATATCCTGAGGCAAGAGGATCACATGAGCCCAGGAGTTTGAGGCTGTAGAGAATTATCATCCTGTCACTGCACTCCAATCTGGGAGATAAGGCAAGACCCTATCTCTAATAAATAAATATGTAAATAAATTCTGACCTTCCAATGTTAACATTTCTTTCCTATTTCATGTCTTCACTTATGATCTTTCAGTGCCTGGAAAACTGTTTTTCCCCTTAGCACTTCACTTTAATGGCTTCTTCTCAGCCTTCAGGTTTCAACTTAGATGTTACCCCCTGAGAAAGTAGGAGGAGGTAGCCTCTAAAGTAGCCTTCTCTGGCTACTTTAAATGATATTTTCTAATTTAAGACACTATTTCCTTCCTAGATTTTATTATAATCTGTATGTATTTAATTAATTTGTTTTCAATGCAATATAAACTCTAGGAGACTTGGACTTTAGTTTCCACACTGTTGTAGTCCCTAGCACTAAAATAGAACCTGGCACATAGAAAGTGCTCAATAGATAGTCTTAAAAAAAGACTATTGTGGGTGCACAACTTATTATACATGGAAGAAGAAGCAGAGAGAGTTTTGGTTTTTTCGTTCAATGTGACAATGAGACTCTGGTAAACTGAGATAAATCCAGGTATAGATCAAATATAGAATGCTCCCAGAAGTGAGAAGTTTCATTTTTAAACGCTCTTAAGCCTTCTAGATAGAATAATGGTAACCCCCAAATATTACACCCAGGGTAGAGAAGAAAAGGCTTACAGCACTTTCCTTTCTGCACTTTGGCTTGTTATAGAGAGGGAGCTCTTTACTGATCTTTTCTACAACACTCAGTTGTTTAAGGAGGAATAGGACCTAGATCACAGTCCTTCCTTAAGCACTGCAGCTCAGCAGCAAATCACCTGGATGGGAGAAGAATTGGAGCTGTGCTGGCTGAGCGTTCGTTGTGTTTCCTTCTCAGTGGTCTGCTTGCCACGCCTAACCAATGCTCAAATCCAGTGTTTTTCAAACAAATGATCTTGAAATCAATTCAGTGCATCTTACCCAGCACTAAAAAAGATGAAATAGATCAGAAAATCTTAAATGTGTCAAATGAGTAAAGGCAGGTATTGTTTCATAACTTGTTTCAGTTAAGTATATTGTGTGTATATTTCTTACTTCAGGTTATGTTTAAAAAGTTCAAAATCCAGTTTACTGTTCTCCAAAACCCCCTTGACTTTTGGCTTTTTTTTTCTTTTGTTTTGGTTGTTTTTCTTCTTTTTTCTTTTCTTTCTTTTTTTTGGTTATTTCTTTGCAGTTTTTTCTTTGCTTTTTTTTTCCTTTTTTTGTTGTCTTTTTCTATTTTTTTTTCGTTTTTTTTTTTTTATTTATGTTATTTTTTTACCTGTATTTCTCTTGCTGTATTTTGGATGTTGTACTGTGGAGATTTTATCTTTTTGATTTTATATTTTTTATTTTACTTTGTGTCTTTTCCTTTTTCCCGTTTGTTTATTCTGGGTTTTTGATGCTGGGTTTTTAATGGTTTTTTTGTATTGGATTTTTTGTTTTACTCATTTTCCTTTTTTCTTTTCACCTTTTCTTTTTTCCCCTTCCTTTCTTGACTTCTCTTTCTTGACTTTTCTTCTCTAACTATGGTTCTAGTACACGGGATGTCGTACACCCTTGTCCCTGCGGCGTTTTTCGTTTTGTGTTTATGGTTTTTTGTTTATTCTTTTTTTCTTTTTTTTCTTATATTTTCTTATTCCCCTTTTATTTTTCCACTTTTTTTTCTGTATTCTTTTTTCTTTGTTGTTTTGTTTTGGTTTTGTTGTTTTGATTTTTTTTTCTTTTTCTTTTTTTTTTTTAGTTTTTTTTTTTAAGGTCTTTTTTTTAAGCCTGTTTTTTGGATTGTAGTTTGTGGCTTGAGGATTTTGCGTTTTGGTTTTCATTCTTTCATTGTGTTTCTGAAGGGTAAAGGAGCAATGACATGAAAAATGTTATAAATATCTCTTTGATATGAATATTCATTAAATGATGTAGTTCTTGCTGTTCTGCAGTAACTTGGAAGCTACAAGCATAGAAAGAGGCACTTTTGTCAAAAAAGAGTCTTTTATGGAAAATAAAGACAAAAAGTGGTGATTTTTATATTTAAGCAAATTGGAACATCAAACACAAAAAGCCTAGGTATATGTTACTTTCTTGAATATAGTGTCTTTTACATCTGTGGTGTATCAGTCCAGGTATTAAATCCAACACTAAAATAGATGAATAGCAAATTCATAGCTCCATGATGATATTATGAGGGGGTCTAATTCTTTTTTTGGGGGGGTCTAATTCTTTTTAAAAATGTTTATATTGAATTGTTTAGGTAGTGACAATAGGAATATTATATACTTTGTCCATGATTATCAACTCAGTTTATATTTATTGAGACCTCTTAGAATATAGAATATGCCTTTTTAAGAATTTCTACTATAAATCAGGCCACGATAATAAAAATTGTACAGAAAAACCAAAATGTACATTATAATCTGGGGAAAAGTAATGTATCAATGCATTCATGGAAATAAGCACTTGCTCGCCTGCCCCAGGTGTAATGAGAATCAGGTAGCTTAATGAAAATCAAGGATTAAGCCTAATGAATATCATTTAATAAGAACTCTCTCTCTCTCTCTTTTCTTTTGTGAAAAGCCTTAATATGAAAGAAAGCCAACTATTTGCTTCAATGAGATAAATATGCTCTCTTAGTAGTTTGCTACTAAGGCATTTAAAATCCATAGAAGTAATTATAGTCATGGTAGTCCAGTGGTTTTCCAAGTGTGGTCTCTAGACCAACAATATCAGTATCAACTGGGACATTGTTAGAATTACAAAATTTTGGACCCAACTCTAGAACTAATGAATTAGATCTCTGGGGATGGGGCTCAGCTGTCTTCATTTTAACAGGCCATTCAGGTGATTCTGATGCACACTGAAACTTGAGATCCACTGCCTAGGGCCTAGGCAGTACAAGGAGAGTACAAGAACCAGTGTGAGGCCACGTGGAGTTTATGGAATGGGGGGGCCTATTTTACAAGACACAATCAAGGTATTGAC